CACCATCAATATACTGGTATAATATAATATATAATATATTCTGACTTTATCCAGTGAAGACAGATGAATGACGTGTGTGTCACTCCGATTGATTGATTGATATATTGAATTTTGCATTTTGTGAAAATATGTAACTGCTATTGGGTGAAAAAATCATTGTCTGTTTTTTTGCAGGCAAAAGGAGTAGTAAAAACAATTCAGCAGTTTCAGGTAACATGTTGGCCAGCTGGTCAGGAATTCCCCACAAGTAAATCTGTGATTGTTGATCTGATGTCAAAGGTTGAAAGATGGCAACAGCAAACTGGTAATGGACCAGTGACTGTTCACTGCATGTAAGTATTTCAGGGAACATTTTTATGGAGGCAGGACGGATGACAAAAACAAAGTGGTAATGGATCAGTGACTGTTCACTGCATGTAAAATCCGGTATTTCAGGGATTATCTCAAATTATGTTTAGAGAGGCAGAACTATTGACAAACTTGAAATGGCCAATAACTTAATAATATTTTGCTTTGTGTATCCCAATATCTTGATAGCAATGGTATTGGTCGTAGTGGCGTATATTGTGCATCAGTGTCTACTTGTGAAAGAATCAAAGTGGACCAGATGGCTGACATCTTCCAAGCTGTGAAAGCACTCAGAACTAATCGACCGCACATGCTAGAAAGTATGGTAAGTCAAATTAATTTGTATTCATTACTGCAATAGAAATAACTATTACATTGACATCTTTGAGTGGTAGAAGTTGATTGTCTCCAGTTTATTTATCCCTGGGAAAGACAAATACCTCTGCTAGATATAACACTATACACTATTATAGTGCTGGAATTACATATTGCTGTTTTTATTGGCCATTTGATCTCTGTGAAATTACAACCTTACCTACTATGTTATGCAAATTTCCCATAATTATCATCCATATTTATTTATCTTTTTCAGGCTCAGTATAAATACTGTCATGACGTCATCCTGGATTACTTTGAATCTTTCGATACATATTCTAACTTCCAGTAAATAAGTAGATTTGAAGGAAATTTACTGTGTTTGTGTTCAAGTCTTGATTATTGAAACACTACTACTATTATGTATGGGTATTCCCAAGCCAAACTATTATTATTCTGAGATTGTCTCAACTTGTTACTCTTATCTCAGGCTTGACATATAACTCATTTCAAGCCACTAGATAGGGTGTTTACAGATTGAATCTGTGGCCTTAAGCGCTACATTTGTTTGTGAATGATTAAATATAATGTAGTAGTCTGCTAAAATTGGAATGTACTGCAATATATTTGTGTTACTACTTGTCTGCTGTACAAAGATATATGAATCTAAATATTATCTGTATTATAATTGTTTTATTTTATTGTTTCTCTATAAATATGTATACTTTATTATTTATCTTTATTAATTATTCTACATAGAATATTTACAACCACAAATGTTTAATTTGAAAATATTCATCTTGTGCTATATAGTAGACTGAGGAAAGTTTTACTGTGAAGGAGGATATGAGGTTATTGCAAAGATACTGCAAAGTATGCACAAAGACAGTACAGCGGGAGTATCGATCAACGAAGTGTTGGACATATGTAAAAGGAAAAAATTGTATGAGGGCCCAGGAATAGTACAGATATATTATCATAGTAACTTTTAATGTCCCGTTCGGACGCAGTTTTGAGCCTTGTGACCTTGT